TAAAACTAGTTTCCGATTTTCACTCTGTTTTGTAATGCTTTCGCATTAATAGTTTTGACGACAAACCACTCATTTCCCTCAGTTTATCACTGATTCACAAAACAATTAGTCCTTATCTAAAGTTTTCGAACTTTTTCCCACTTTTTATTCCAAATATATATAAAAATAATACACTTTTTTCGATAAATAAGTTATGAAATGAATGCTAAATATTGTACTAATTAAATAAATAATGAAATTAATGTATAGAATGCTATGAAAGACATTGTAATTGTTTGAGAATCTGTTCCCTGTCTTTGAGTGCTTTGAAGGCACCCTCCCTTTCCTTCTTAGTCGGCGAGCGTTTCTTCTGTTTGGCGGCGAGGATGCGTCGGTAGGCTTCGATCACTTCCGTGTCGGCCATCTCTAACTTCTTGGACACGTCCTGACGAGTGATTTCTTTTTTGGCTGCACTTAAAAGTCGTTTGATTTGTGAGTGATTTTTGTCACTCAAACTCTTCAACTCTTGTTGAGAGCGCTTCAGTTCTTGTAGTATCTCGTCCTCATCGCCAGCACTGGTGTCCGAACCGTTGAGAATGTCGTCCAGACTTATGATTCCGTGTTCTTCCAGTTCTTTTCGAATTCGTTTCTCGAGTTTTGCCGTATTTCCCAAATTCAGAGATTTAAACACTTTATGGTTTGGACTCCCATTGGACGGGCCTTTCATGTTGTTGTTGTCATTGCCATTGGATTTCGGGTCCATTAGACCGCCGTTTAGAAGATTCTCTTCTATAAGACATGAGACGAGGCGTTGAGTCAAAGCACCGAAAGATGTCTTATCCGGTTCCGACCTTTTGTTCATTTGATTCAATCATTAAAATAATTTGTGACAACTTTTCCGAAAACTTACTGATTCTTTGACCCCTTCTTAGGTTTGTTGGACGTCTGGATGAGTGAAGAACGCGGCGAACAATTGGAAGCACTTAAGCCTTTCTTTTTATCTTTTTGATCCATAATGTCATTGTCGTCCCATTTCAGTGAATAATGTTTACCCAAATTTGGGATTTTATAGAAATCAGAGTCACTGTCGTATGATTTGAGTTCTTCGTTCAAAAACTGCATAAAACAGGAATTGAATGTAAAATCAGTATATTTGGAGACATTCCTACTTTGATGTGGTCTGAAGTGATTTCACAACAATACGGTTCAATGAAATTCCAGAATTGGTTGGGAATGTCATTCTTGATGGCAATCGCTTTCGATATTGCCTTCTGTTGCGGCTCTGAATATTCAGTTTCCGTATTCTTGATCTAAAAGACATTTAAATGAATAAATATAGCACTCAGTCATATGTGTAACCAAAGTATGTGTATTACGGGTATGTTTTTGGCCTTTTGTGGTCTCGATTTGCCGCTATTAGTGCTGTTCGAGTGGTTGTCTTTGAATTTTTTAGACGGCTTCTCATCTGAATGTTTGCTTCTCTTTCCCAATACTTCACTCTATAATACAAAGCAATGGTCTCTAACTTAAAACTGTAACAAATATTGACTATTTATAAGTAAATGCCTTTTAATAAAGTGAATCATTAACCAAAATATGGAGCAAATATCAGAGTCGTGATCTCATGGACTCAAATCCAAACAAATAGATGTTTTCACATTCAATCACACTATCATTCACACCATTCACACATGCATTCATTCATTTGTTTTGAAAACATTTCATATAAAAAAAGTTGAATAAACTTGTGCTTTATTATCGATTCAATGGTATTTTGTTTGTTAAACATTTGTATTCATTTCATAAAAATAATGTAAAAATAATTTTATGATTCATTTAACTATAAATTGATTGTAAGATAAGAGTTTGAAAACTAAAAGCTTGTGAATAAACAACATTTGCGTGAATGAGTCACACATTTGTATCAATTGTTGACAAATCATTTCCCGTGAAATGAATCGACGATTATATCCGTCATTAGTGTCACCACAGAAGGCATGCAAAGAAGCTTGTGAATAAACAACATTTGCGTGAATGAGTCACACATTTGTATCAATTGTTGACAAATCATTTCCCGTGAAATGAATCGACGATTATATCCGTCATTAGTGTCACCACAGAAGGCATGCAAAGACTGTGTGTCCACTCCGTGGTAACCCATTCACACATATAGGGCTCATAATAAGCACAAGACATACACTCTATTGGCTCATGAAATGCAAGACAAGTGAAAGCCGTTTAACAAATAAAATACCGGTTTATGTGGCGATCGTTTGTCTCTATTCTTAGAGTCACACCAATTGGTCAATGACTCCATTTCCGTCTCCAGAAGTCGCTGCCTCTGGACCACAGATACCAGGAGTGACTCCAATTCGAGCTGCAAGACATCCATATCTTCGGCCCCAATGCCGCTCTCGTCTTCACTTCGCTGAACAACTGTCACAAAAAGGTATGAATGAGATGGTGATGGATGTTCAGGTGATGCGTGCGGACACATACCAGATGTAAATCGTGGACATTGTTTGCTGGGATCCAAGACTTGGAAGTCGAGGAACTGGAGGGGACAGGAGTTGTCGTCGGAGTCGCCGTCCTTCTCCTTCTTGCCCTTACCTTTCATTCGTGGATGTGTTTGTGGTGATGATGCGATCAGTGGTTCACAGATATAAGACAATTGGTGGCAGATATAAGACAATTGATGGCAAAAACAGCTGACATTTTATTACTTCATATTTGTATCAATACTCATAAATACTGTCAACATATAAAGCATTTGCACACAAATCACGTCCAGTCGCTGCAAACATACAAATGAAATAATACATGGATTCATACAATCATTACATTGTATTATAATATAAGCTTTTAATTAAAATTATTTATAGTTTAAGACATTTTCAATCATTTTTTATAACAAATGGTCTGAAAGAGAAAAAAGCGTTCATTTGGTGATCATTGAGTGTATGGGGGATGAAATGGATGTGATTGTGATCTTATGATAGTTTTATATTTGTATTAATTACAGTGCTGCCAACCATTAAATTGCTTTATTTGGTTGCTAAGGGTATCACTAAGTGAGACTTGGCCCAGGATTGTGCGCAAAAGAAGCCTTAAAAGGCAACATTCAAGAGACAGGAGTACGACAGAATACAGTGCTGCCAACCATTAAATTGCTTTATTTGGTTGCTAAGGGTATCACTAAGTGAGACTTGGCCCAGGATTGTGCGCAAAAGAAGCCTTAAAAGGCAACATTCAAGAGACAGGAGTACGACAGAGCCATCGAGTTGTACACCGAAGGCATCGAAATGGATCCAATGCCCAGCTCTATGGCAACCGATCCATCGCTTACCTCAAGAAGGAGTTCTTCGGCTACGCGTTGGGCGACGCCTCCAAAGCCATTGAATTGGACAAGAGTTACATCAAAGGCTACTACA